GCTTCTAACGGTCTCTGATTTAATGGCTTCGGTAGTGGTGGTTTGTTTGCATTCATCTACCCGGTTGTTTAATTGGTCCTCGGTGGAAACGATGGGCATTAATTTTTGAAGTGCCCGAACTCTCCACATGCAAAGCAGTGACGCAAGTTAGTGCTTATTCTTGTCTGTACAACTCCATTTCCCCGGGCTGTCAAAAGTCTTTGTCTGCCTGCCTAGTCTGGATGTCGGTATGGTGTCGCCCGCTGCACTCCACTAGTGCTAGTGCCCGTCCTGATTGGATCTCCCCTTGTGAAATTTTTTCGCCTCTGGGTGTCCTCAATATCTCTCTCCACTAGTGCGGCTCAATCAACTAGATCCCCATAATCCCTGATCTTGAGAGCCATAAGCTTCTCCTTGATAGCGAGCCTTAGGCCCTGCTAAAAATGCTTGGCCTTCCTAGCCTCAATAAATATAAACTCCGTAGCATAGTGGAAAAGCTTGTCAAACCTCCTCTCATACTCGGCCACCGTTATGTTCCCCTGTCATAGAGTTAGGAAATCTGCACTCATCTTATCCCTAACGGATTTAGGGAAGTACTTGTCTTGGAAGATTTGGTCGAACTCCTCCCAAGTGAGCGCATCAGCGTTCCTTCTTCTCTTTACTGAATCCCACCAATGGTCAGCCTCCCCCTCAAACAAATATGTTGCCAAACTGACCCGAAGATCCCCTGCAACTCTCATACCGTCACACATCTTCTTTATCCGACAGATCCATTTATCCGCATCCAAGGGGTTAGAGCTCCCTTGGAAAGTAGGTAGGTGTTGTCTCAGAAATTCTCGGAGAACAACCATCCTTCTGTTTTCATCCCCGTTGCCTAGTACTTGGGCTAGTGGATGAACCCCACCGTTGTAGTTGTTATTCCCATTTTGGTGTTGCATCAAAGTGGTAAGCTCTCTTAAACATTGGTAGATGCAGTTCATGGCATCGGGAGGTGGTGGTGATGTGGTGGTGGGTTTGCCTGGCCACCATGACCTCGTCCACGTCCACGCCTACCGTCCATCCTCTACATCAATTCACAATTTAGTTTCATTGATGTACAAAACATCCTAAATATCACTTTAGTCTAAAGCATAAAGTTTAGATAAAATTTCATCCAACAATATCTTCAACCTAGTCCTATTTCTCTAACGGTGATCCATAACCTACAGCTCCCATGAAAGACATAAAACATAAGCTCTGATACCAAAATTTTGTAACACCCCAAAACCCACTTTAGACGACATTACAATCTAAAAACCATTCACACTATAAGAGCAACTAAATAAATTCATCATTAACGAAATTTCATTCATCAAATATAATATTTACAATATTATCTCAAAAGAATAGGCCAACCATGGCCATTACATCCCCCAAAGAATGTGATTGACTATGATAATTACATCCCAAAAGAATCACATTTAAACTTGCAGCGAAATAACAAAAGATTAGTCTATACATAGTCCCAAAAGAAATTTTCTAGTCTAGCACCTAGGAGAGTATAACTCTAGACATCCACCTCGGGATCCACGTGGCCGTCTAGTGGAGCTTCTCAATGTGTCGGCTCCTCAACCCCGAGTTCTTCCTCTAGACCATAATTTGAAAAATATAATTTGTAGGGGATGAGCACTAAGCTCTGTACTAACATTCCTCCCAAACTCGAACAAGGTTTAAAAAAAACATGTAAAGCAAGTCGGTCTCATTTCGCAAATATCATATATTAATCTTTGAAATAAAACAGGAACATTTAAACATATCTCAAGTTTAAGCAACAGTAGTAATTTACTGCATAAATGAAACCAATGTACGACTTATAATTCATTCCACCATAAACCGTTTCTCCCAAGTTCTTGCGAAATCACATACTTCCCATAGAAACTATTTCTGGTACAATGAACAATAACCTACCACTGTATTCGTATTTCTAGTCTAAAGTAAGATCTTGCATGAATACCATCGAAAATATTCTGGCCCACGTACAACCCCCACAAATCCTCGCAAGGATATCCAACCTTTAGGAAGGGCGTATGCCAATATCATGGTAGTGACGTATCCAACCCAGGAGTAGTATATTAATTATTTTTCCATGATACCCCGTAAGCGATAATGGTTTAGTCCTCGCAAGGCACTAACCCCACTACGAGTGGTAGGAAAAGTTCAAACTCGCACGAAGTAAAAAGGCGTCTACACATTCCACGATACCCAGTCAATAGTAGTATATATTTATCCAACAATCACACAAGATACAATACCAACAATTTACTCAAATAACAAACAATTCCATAAATTCCCAAATTTCACATGTAATATTTCAATAGAACAATTGAAGAAAATGTAAGAGATCATCCTTAACATCATTTTGATACTCAACACAAAAACACTAAAGTTTTCGAAACCAAATTTAAGTGAATGTAGAGGGAGAAACTCATATTTCTCAAAAAAAAACTAGGGTTTTAAATCAAGAAAAAAAGATTTTATGGGTATTCAACCCTAACTTTGTTTAAAACATAATAATAATTGTAAGAAAACCAAAGAATAATGATTTCATAACATATATATAAGATTTAGAGTCAAAGAATACATATATACAAGCCCTAGTCTCAATGAACAAGAATTGAAGAAAACTCTCTCGAAAATCTAGGGTTTTGATTTTTCTTGAAGTAGAAATCCCCTTTGATCTTGTGTTTTTCTCTTCCTTTCTTCCTCTCTAAGGTTTCCTAGGGTTAGAGATGTTGAAATGGGGCTAAAGGGATTGTCCTTAAGCATTTATAGTGAAAGGAAAGTCGGATGTTCGCGATTTAAAATTTCAGATTTTTCGAAGACCTTCCGAAAGGTTTGCCTATTCAACAAACCTTTTCATTAACCTTCCGGAAGGTTGTCATTGACCTTCCGGAAGATTTTTCATCGACCTTCCAAAAGGTTATATCTGTTTTTCTACAAAACCTCCCTTTTTTATTTCCAATTCATTCCACAACCATCCAATTCCAATCCAAGCTTATTCAACTTGCTTTTTTACATCAAACCTAGTTGGCACAAGTTCTATTACAACGAATTCATATATTTGCAAGCTAAACTAACTTTTAACTACTATTTCCTCAAATTTTTCCATATTAACATTTCAAAAGAAATAATAACTTGTTATATAAACCTACATACATGTATAAAGATAAAAGTGTGGGGTTTACAAGCCCACAAGCTCTGCAGTTCTGAAAGCAGCCCCTACACCCTCAGCGCTGCCTAAGATTCCTACGCCACTCACGTTAGCTTTACCTTTGCTAGGGTTTTTGGGCACAGGGGAGGTCAATGAAGGAGGCTCCTCAATATTTTGCTTGGCATCAACAGAATCAACCTTTGGGAAGTTGTCAATCTCCTCACCCACGTCTCCCAAGTCAGTATCCTCCTTGGCAAATATGCTCCCCATCAAGGAAATAGATAAACTCGTGGCTTCTGAAGAGTCAGACATGATTGGGCAAGAAAAAGGGAGTTTGAAAGAGCGATAAAGAGGAGGGATATTCGCAAAACACTCCCTAAGGGTCCTAGGGGCAACACAATAGCGTCCGATGAGGAAAATTTGAGCAGTGGAGTAAGCTTCCAAGAAAAAGGGAAGACAAGAAAATGAGCAACCTCAATTCCTAAAGTAACAGGATCGAAAAGCCCAAAAATGCAGAAACCACCTCAGATTCGAGGGATCCAGAACGAAAGAGTAAACAAGGGCCAAGGAACGTACCTAGTCTGGAACGAGCAACGAACCAAAGCCCGAGATGAAACCCAAAGAGTGAGCTTTCCGAAGCTTTCAAATCAAATCAGAGGCAGACAAGTTGCTGGAGGAAATCTGAATACGCCAACGGATTGAGGGACCAAAATCGCCTAAGAGAGAGAGAGAAAGAAGGCAGAAAAGAAGTTTGAGCAGGGAAGTGAGGTGGTTTTTCTCTCCATAAGGGCATTTAAGGCTCGAAGGGCGTGGGGCAGAATGTGTGCAGTAATTGAGGAAAACTTGATTACTAAAAAAACTGCCAAAAGACAACTTCCACATGCAAATCAAGGTCATCTGGGGGAGGTCTACTTCAACTCATCTCAAGCACAACCCCTGGTCAAATCCACTTTGACCAGGGAGTGGGGGGCAACTAATGATACCCAGAAGAAAACTCCTAAGTATGAGCTCAAGCCCCATAGAGCTATTAGGAGGGAAATTAGAAAGGAGACAGATGGCGCTCCACAAAAAATAAAAGGCTATAATCAAGGTATAGACTCTCAACTAACCAAAATTCTCTCCAAAAATCAAGAGAGATCCCTCGAACAAAGGGCAAGGATTTCATTGTAGATCCCTAAGAAATAGAAACAGGGTTATAAATACTATATAATGCCTCCACCAAAGGGGCAAGAAAAAAAACCCTATAGCTATTGAAAATTCTCTGTAATTTGAATCAAGCATTAATAAAGAGCCAAGTAGGAAGAGACTCCATTAGAGAATAGATTAACCAAGCTTCCAAACTAGTGAACCACTATGCTTCTACTGTACAAGACACCTATTCCCTACCCAATCTCCCTTCGGTTCATAGGAGCTCAATAGCTCAAAACTGAATATGTTTAGATAACCACACATATTGCTCATTCACTTTAATAAACACCATCACTGAGCATTTTCGAACGGAAATTTTTGCCCTAATTGCACCTTATTTGCTTCTCTCTTCCTCTGCTGATAAGGCAATTCGACGACAAAGCAAATTCTGGCGTCGACGGCGGATCTTTGAATTTTTTTGGGGCCAAGTGTCCCAAACATTTTGGGTGTTCGACGTTTTTGAAACAATGTTCTAGTTTATCCCTTGTTCAAAGTTTGACCACGTTATTGCTTTAAATAATGGGTTTTAACCCATGAACTATGGGTTGGGCTGCCTACATGGACTGGACCCCAAACCCAACAGGTTCTTCCTACAGATTAGCTCCTTCCATCATTGTGATTCTTAGACTTTGTCACCAAGAACAAAAAAAAACTCAAAACATACCACAGACCTGACAAATGGTATTCTACCAAAAAATATGTTATACAAGCTAAAGAGTACATGAAAAAAGAACCAATGTTTAGCTCTCCCATGAAGGTTACAAGGGGAACTATAGCTGACTATTGACCTCAGGAGACGAGCAATTTCTGTCGGTGAGGGGTTGCCACCATCCCAACCCCACCAATACCTTCTCTCTTTCTTCTTTTTTGTTTCTAAATGCCCTGTCTCTTCTCCACTGCCATTTTTTGGCTGAAACAAGTGACGCTGCCACAAGCCCAGCTGTTGTAACAATGGTGCCAGTGTAGACAGGAGATCTGAAAGAAAGGGTGGAGTTCTGTTCAATTCATGTAGTTGCCATTTATTGAAACCGTTAACCATACCACAAAATTTTCTCCTGTACTACTATATAAAGTTTACTTTCACTTAGAATAGCGTAATACAGTTTATTGTTTCCGGAATAGCAAGATCAGTCAGAGAGGAAACCTTTTTTCAGCAACTAATATGGTTTGATGAGAACAATTGCCACTCATATTGGGTGAAAACTGCCCCATTGAAACAGACTCGCTCTAAATGATCTTGAAGCATGTTGATGCGGTAGCCAACATCAGTCACTTATTCGGCGCTGGTTACTTTAGAAAACATTAATCTGTACATGGGGCCTCCCCAGTCTATAACATGCTGTTCCCAATCTGATCGAACTCCAAATGGATTTTCCTTCAGCCATCCTTCTGTACCAATTTTAGCGTGCTCCAGACCATGTACAACAGCAAGTTTGCCCTTGCCATACTTTAAAAACAGTTGTTTCATTCTTACTGCAACTGCTTCTATGTCAGATTGAAGAAATACCTACACTTCAAGAACAGATGGTAGACAACTCAGCTTAACCCTTTGTTGTGTGTCTTACCAACAGATAACCAACTCTGCAGTTCAGTTGTGACTTAATGCTAAAATTTATACTCGTTGCAAGCCATGTCCAAGTATAGCATTATCATATTTCACCCAAAAACCAAAACAGATGAAGTACTAAAGCCCTTCATGTATATTGGTAATAGTAAAACAATTATCTCTGCCCTTTGAAGCGGCACAAAGTCATAACTATATAGTGAAACAGATAGGGTATGATCAAGGATCGCAATTTCATTTTGTTTCCACGCAAGCGGCCGAAACGAAACAAAGGTAGAAAATTGAAATCCCCCTGTTTCAAACTGTTTTGGGATTTTTTGACCAATATTTAAAAATGATTCGGGCCATTGTTGCAGAATCAAGAAACAGTTTTCAAAGCATTTTCGAAAGTTTCCAAAACAAGTCGGTTATGTCTCCAAAACACTTCCGGTTCCGAGCAAACCAAAACCGTGCACCGAATCAAAATTGTAATCCTTGGGTATGACGCCCCAATTTGTTCATATTCGTTTCTAGACCGAGAAGATAGTGAAGCAAGGTTTGAAACCTATGCCTATCATTCTGAGTTGACAATTGCATCTACCAGAATGCGAGTCATTCAGTTAATAAAGAACGAATCACCTAACCATGGTCCAAACAGAATAAAAAAAAATGCTGGTCCGAGAGAGGAGCCGCAGTGAGATTGCATTACCTTTCCATCAGGTGTAAGCAGATCCGCTATTGCTTCGATTAATGATCTTTGCAGCATTCTCCATCTGTGTTCTGGTTTGTTGAAATCTGGATTTGGACACTAAAAAATGAATCTTGCTTTAGTTAAGTTACATTTACTTCCTGCTAGATGATGTTAAACACATCACACGAGGATAACACGACAGAGAGACATGAAATAATGCTAAATAGAAGAAATCAGAAATGATTGTTGCTGAAAACGGATTCAAAGTAACTATCAAGGAAGCAAGACTTCTGGCTTCCATCTCATCAATTTGATGTCTATATTAAAATTTCATTTCAAAAAACAGAAAATAATTTAAGTTAAAGAAGAAAAGACATGGAGACATAGTGCCAACTTAAAGAGGGCAAATTTCTTTCATCCTCCAAATTGACCATTTTATCATCTTCCTGGGAAGCAATTGTACCCCCACTCTTTCCACACGAGGAATTAATTGATGCTCGTTCGTCATTTTGGGCTGTGCTTTGTAGACGGCTACCCTACCTTTAACATGCTAGACTTTTGTAGAATCAATTCTCATGAGACAGAATTCTTATATATTTTTCACAATGGATGCAGTTTTGCAGAGCTAACAAAGAAGATTATCATTATAACAGTCATAGAAATTGGTGCAGCTGGAGTACTGTACATGATGCATCTAAAAGTGAAACATGTACTTCAATACCACAGTGCAAGAAGATACCAGAAGACAATATGTGACAATTCAAGTGGTGCTACCTGTATTGATACAGAAACCAGTTCTCCTGGGTAAAGGGAAACAATGGATCGAAATGTTGATGTTGCATTCGTGGCAATGAAGTATCTGAAAAAACAAACCAGAACAAGAAGCTAAGATGCATAGCTGAGAAATAGAAACATTTGGGTGTGTTTGGTAAGTGTTTTTGTTTCAAATTTTTTGTTTTTGTTTTCACTTTTTGCAAAAATTAGAAACATAAATGTGTTTGATAAGTATTATTGTTTTTTTCCTGATCAACTTGTTTTGAAAATAGGGCCAGATTTCAAAAACAAAAAATTGGGGGATATTTGATTTGTGTCTCAAAAACTATTTTTCTGTTTTCAGAGTCCATAAATGGGAGAAAAGTTATTTAGTCAGTTGTGCTTCGTTTTTTAGTTTTTTGAAAAATGAGAACAAAAAGTGGGTAAATTTACAAAATAAGTAAGAAATGTTTTGTGTGATTTTGGGAACACCCTTTTCAAAATTTGGAAAACACGGGACTTTGGGGGGACTTTTACGAGCTTCACCCCTCAAACTCTCTTAGAAACTAATTTTTCCTATTTATGGATACAACTCTTCATCGTCTCTCTTTGTCATTTGTCTCTCAGTCATTTGTCTTGGTTCCCTCTCTCTCTTTCTCACACTGAAGCTAACTCCTCTACAAAGCTCTCACCTATCTCCGAGTCTCTCTCTCAGAAGTTATCTCTCTCTCTCAAAGTTTAGATCTACTCAAGGATCAAAATTTTGTTTCAGAGTGTTTCAGTCACCTAAAAAATGAAAACGTTTCGATGTATTTCGTAAACATTTCGGCATGTTTCAGAAACAAAATGAAAAAAATTAATAATTTTAAAATTATTTTTCCAAAATACTGGTCGAAATATACCAAAATATCTTGAAATATTCTAAAATAATTGTGCAAATGCATTGAAATATTACAAAACACCTCAACATTATGAAATACCTAGAAGTATTAGAATTTCGATTTCATCACTAATTCGTTTCAGTCTCCTTGAAAACGAAAAAGTTTCGAAAAATTCGACCATTTCGAAACGAAATTTTGATCCTTGGATCTACTACATATATATATTCACATATATATGGAGATCTATGTGTGCGCGCTTTTGGTAAGTTTGTGTATGTATGTGTGTGATTTTGTGTGTGTATACGGACGATGGTAAGTCTGTGTGTATGTGAGTAAAGTTCAAAATATCGTTTCGGTGCATTATTTCGGCTACCTAGGAAACAAAAATATTCGATATGTTTTTGAAACGTTTCGATCTGTTTCTAAAATAAAATGAAAAAAAATAAAAATTTAACACTTAATTTTTCAAAATATTGGTCGAAATATACCAAAATATTTTGAAATACATTAAAATATTTTAAAATAATTGCGCAAATGCATTGAAATATAACAAAACATTTCGAAATATTATGGAACTCCTCGAAGTATTATAATTTCAATTTCATCACTGATTCATTTTGTTCTTTTTGGAAACGGAAACGTTTCGAATACTTCGACCATTTCAAAATGATATTTTAATCCTTGTATGTGAGTAACGGTGGTTAGAGAATTTGTGGGTTTCTACAGAGCCTTTTTTTTTTTTTTAATGCATATCTACTTTCAACTTTTTCTAATCCACCCAACAGACTCAATGAAGTAAACGAGTAGTTGGCTCATTCTTCATCCAACAATTCCATGAATTTTGATTTATTTTTTAGCATAGAATTAGTATAAATTTATTAAATATAACATAAATTAAAATGGTTACCAAACATGTTTTTTGTTTTAGTGTTCATAATTTATTAAATGAAAACGACAACCAAACTTGTTTCCTGTTTTTACTTTATATCACAAAAAAAATAAAAATTGTTTTTGTTTTTATTTTTTTTGAAAACTGAAAATGTTACCAAAGATCTGATGATTGCTGCAATACAATTTCTTGACTTTGGTTTGGCAACCTTCCATTACAAATTTGGACTCATGGCTCTTACTTTCTAACAAATAACATTTATTTTTTTTGGACAAGCTATCTTTTCAGTATATAACATTCAAAAAGAAGATAACATTACATACAAAATATTTCGCAAAGAAAGCATTATTTTTAAGGTCTTCAACATAGTAAGGGCTCATACAACCTCTTATTCTTTGGCTTCCCCCCCCCCCTTTTTTTATCTTCCCCCTATGTCCTCATGAAAAAAAGGAAACACAAAAAAGAACCTTTCCTATGACGAAAGGCAAAAGCAAGCACAGAAATGTATGCTGCACTACCCACTGGTGATTTTTGAATAAACTCTAATAAAAGCCAAAATGGCAACAACAATAGGAGATAGTTTGAACTCTTAGCCAGTTGAATCTCAAAAATATATAAATAGATCATGTCAGGTTAAAAATAAAGGAATATTCCAGCTGGTAAGATAACTATAATGACATGATGATGTTCAAATGCAAAACGCATACCCATTCTGTATGCCAGATTGATGAACAGAGTCTAGACAGCGACTCACAAGCTGCAAAAGGAAGGTGGTATCGGAAAAAAACAATCCAGTTCAGAACTTAAACAAGCAAAGAAGAAAAAGAATTGAAGAAGGACAAAATAACAACCTTTTGATTTATCTCCAAGCCAAGAAAATTCAGATCCTTCATCCTCCTTGCCATATTGAAGAGAAACAATCCGTTTCCTGTAATTTTTATTTCAAAATATTAGAAAACAGTCAGCAGCTGAAATTTCTTTCCTAGGCCATTGAATTAATAGCTATTGTTCACATTTTAGAAGCAAGCAGAAAGAATGTTAAAAATAAAAATAGGTGTTTCGTATTCACACAGAAACAGGTGAATGGTAGCAACAATGTTTACCATTCTCTCTCGATTTTGCAACATGAGGATAACAAAAGTCTCAAAGGACAACAATAGCATTACATCATTCAAAACCCACAACACCTGAATACCTCAAATGAATATCAAGAAAGAAAAAGGGTTGCTCAGTTCCAAAAAAGAAGGTTCAGCATACTGCCATAGAAGAAGATATAATCACGAAGCTTAATTTAAACATTAAAGTGATCATTATGAAGTTCTCCAAAACAGAATGCCTCAAGGGGAAGAGGAACATGAGAAAAAAACTAGAAAGCCCTAGAAGACAAACACAAGCAATTGCATAATGATAACAATTAATTTAATTAGAATTAAGTTAGTTTCTGCAAACGAACTTCAAGATTGCTCTACATATTAGTGGTTAATGCATTCACACCTAATGTTGGTTATAATTTCTCCCACCCATTGTTTTATTAGAAAGCTGTAAAATATATAAAATCAAGGCGTCACTGAAAAGTAGCTGAAAGCAAGCATAAGAGAAAATGAACTCAAAAATTAAGGGACAATGAGAGCATGTGAGTAAGCAATGCAGGAGTGGAGGTATGGGTTGAACAAGCATACAGACAACATTACATTAAAAAAAAAATTATTGGAAGGAATATAACGGAAAATATACCACTTCCAATATCAACTACCAAAGGTCGAGTTGGAACAGTATACATGGAATCCCAATCGACCTCAAATGGGTATGCCTGCACAGATCAAATGCTAAAAGGTAGTCTAAGTGTAAACTCAAGAAAAAATAATAAATCGTCTGCATCGCTAGGAAGTTTCATGGAAAGCTTCACGTTATAGCAAACATTTCCTTCAAGCCAAGGATCAAAATATCATTTCGGTGTATTGTTTCGGTCACCTGGGAAACTGAAACGTTTCGATCTATTTCGGAAACGTTTCGACCAGTTTCGGAAACATAATGAAAAACATAAAAAACTTAAGAATTATTTTTCTAAAGCATTGATGAATATATATTAAAGTATCTTAAAATACCTTAAAACATTCTAAAACAATTGTGCAAATGCACTGAAATATTATAATACATTTAAAAACATTAAGAAATACCTCGAAATATCAGAATTTCGATTATATCACTGTTTCATTTCGGTCTCCTTGGAAACGGAAATGTTTCAGATGTTTTGACCGTTTCGAAACGATATTTTGATCCTTACTTCAAGCAAAAATAGTCAGATTTACCCAAAAAAATAAAATCAGCATGTCAACAGTAAAATATGGGATGTGCAAAAAAAGTCAGCAAATAGCAACAAGCCTATTACAGTCCTGATACGACAAATCCCTTCAATTTTTTTTGGGACAGCTAAAGAACCTCTTTAAAGATAATAAGTATAGAAAACATACTCTATCTAAGGCCATGAGCCCTGGAAGCTTTCTTCCTTTAAGAAATGCCCATACAACCGAAGCATTCTTGATCATCTTATAAAATAAAACATTTCTTGATTCCCTTATAAGAGTTTTGCATGCCATATTCCCAACCACAGTTATGTCACAATTGTTTTGACTTAGTTTATCAAGCACTTGTGCCACTTTAGATGCTCCACCGGTTTCCTGATTTGGCAAGCTAAATTTTGCTGGACCAATCCATATTATTTTCTGTAAACAATGAAATTACGTATTTGTAAACAGAAATATACAGAAAAATAAGCAAAAACATATCAACATTAAGGGAAGGATGTCCATAAGCATCCTACTCAGCAAACAAACACATATTCTAATACTCCCTCCCTCCTCCTCCTCCTCCTCCTCCATACCCTCTCTCTCTCCCTCCATCTCTGTCTCTCAGACACACAGACACAAAAGAAAGAAAAGTAAAAATGAACAACTCTTGCTTAAACATTTATTTAAAAACTAAATTTAATTGATGAGTTTATTTAGATGCACACAAATATATTCAGTATTAGGGTGGAACAAAACAATGATAATGAGCCGCACGGTTACATAAAAAGAATGCATCTTTGTTTATTCAATACAAAAGCAGAACACATCATAGAGTGTAACAAAACTGCCAGAAGCAGTAGTCTTTGGTGCATTAGATTCTCACTCTCCTACTCAAGTAACAGCTACTTGTCAAAACAACACTCGCCAAACCTCACCTCACATTTTGAAAGCAAGGAGGTTACTGCTTCCAATGAGTTTGGCCCAAAATCAACAGGTTCCCAACCTAAAAGAAAGGAATTTCAGTAACAAGCAAATATCAGTAGACATCAAAACATCAATAATTAAGACGTTGATAACAAAGTTTAGAACATTAAAATCCAGCAGTACAAAAGAAATGAATGAATAAGAATAATGTCATGATTCCCACTTAACTTGTTTTCCATTCCAAAACTATGAAACTATGAAACTACGAAAAAAAACTGCATCCCTATATTTTGAAAATTTGCAAGTTCCAACCTTACCATCCGACATACAATTGGCTGGAAATATTTCCAATTGTGCTGGAAGATGATTATTAATACACCAAAAATCTTTTGGAAACAGAATGGGCATGCTTCTCGAGTTTGCAATCTGGATTATATTAAGAGCTTCTTCAAGTGCTCCAAGTTCTACCAATTTCGCAGGAACTGGCAATCCTAGGGCATGCATGATTTGAAAGGCCATGTTTCCAACAAACACCAAACCATCACATCTAGAAGCTAGGAAACGCAAGGCGGCCGCTTTGTTTAAGAGATTACCACCTCCAATCTGGATATAATACAGAGTGTTAGTGGTGAATAGGTTACAGAATTGATGAAGACAATCCTAGGATTCATTTTAGGTGCACAACACAAATTGCTTTACTAAGTGAATAATTCCTGAGGCATACAATTGCAACGTATGGTTTCTTATTGGTTCTGACAGCCTCCTTCAGTAGACAAAGGCTCTCTTCAAAGTGAAAACCAGCAACACAGGCATAGCAGAAGCGTGAAACACCAACAGTTGATGCAAGGATTTTATGAGATTGGAAAAATGCATCATTAACAAAGATATCAACCCCCAATGACAATTGCTCAGCAAATTTTGAACAGTTTGCAAATTCTCCTTTAAACTCAGAAAGATTCTCAAGAAGAAGAATACTAGATTTCGGTCTGCCTTCTGTCATAGAGTGCATCTGTCTGGTAGCAAATTTCATCGGTACAACTTTGATTTGGAGAGCCAAGGCCAGAAATTCTGAAACAGCAAATAAGCATTAGTGACAGTCTGGAAAACTAGAAATATTCAGCACTCTTAATGTAGAGTTTAGTTGCGGCCACATGCTTTTACTATTTTATGATTCTTACATTGTTACCCAGATTGATATCACATATGGCAGATGCAGAGAAGCGGAAGAAACCCCTGTTTTCATGCATCTGTATGATGCTATTAGTTAAACTTACAACTATTTTATGATTCTTACATTTTTACCCCAATTGATATCACATATGGTAGATGCAGAGAGGCAGAAGAAACATACCGGCTTTCACGCATCTGTATGATGCTATTACTTAACTATTCAAAGTAAGTTTTCTCCATGTAAGGTCAAGGTTAAAGATTTTTGACTGATGGTTCAAAAGTATTGACTTGAAAAAACAACAATGAAAAAACAAAAGATACCCGCAACAGCTTCTGCTGTAAGAAGCTTTGAGCTGATCTTTTCACTCCAGTTACTTGCTAAAATTACTTTAGCCCCAGCTTCATGTAAATACTTAATAGTAGACAGCGCACTGGTGAAAGATGAAGAATGCTGGTCCCGCTCTTTACCAAGTAAAATTATAGAATCAAATCTGACCATAACAACTTTTCTGAATAGCTCCTCCTTGGGAAACTTTTTCAGAGTCTGTATATGTGGAAAGGTGTCCCGTTTTGCTCCCTCACAAACTTTCACCTAAACACAAAGCACCATTTGGATAAAATTAAAACAATACAACAGCCAAATGAGCAGACATATAGCTAGAAAATTTATTTCAAGAAAATTATGTAATTGCAATGGAGTAAGGCCTTCAAGGGAACAGGTCACCAAAAATAAATGCAAAGACTAAGTCAAGAGTATGTTATTAAGTGGAATTGACACTTACTAGGTCCGCTACTTGTTATCGAACAGGAAAAAAGCTTGCAAAGCATAATATTCAAAGTTGATAACACTACGAAATATAGATTAGAACTAATTTTCAACACAACGGCCCCGAATATACAATTCATAAGATGACTGCATTTACACATAAGTTTTCATTCTCGACGAAGACCTTATTGAGAACCAAAATCAGGACATAACAGGTGTACACACAGAATCTACACTTGAGAAACCAAATCTTAAAAACACATACTAATCTTCTTTTTGGCAACACTCCCTGGAAAGGGTGTTGAATACTTTGCCAGAAGTACTGCCTTTGTAGGGGCAATCAGCAATAGTAAGGACAGTAAAACAGCCAACTATGTGTCTTAGGAAGGAAATAAGATAGAAATGAATCCAACTTTGACACGTTGAGTCTTCTGAATTGTTTGTCTGTAGTCATCTGTGGCTACAATTAGAACAATAAGAGATGAGAAGAAGACTTGATTGGGGAAGCAATGGAGGCCTTTGAGTTAAACTTTTGTTTCCATAGCAGGGAGAGGAAAGAAGTCACATAACTTTGACCGTGCAGGAAGCATGTGGAGTAGGTGGCCTGTTTATTATTTACACCTTAGAGCAATCATAGATCTCTCAGCATTTTTGCTTTCCTATGTAAGGATGGAGTTGGTTTTTTTCTGGTCTGGCTTGGCTTTCTCCAAGGGATGACCTGTTTTCCTTTACCTTTAAGAATACTATGGGAATGGTTCGTTTTTAGGGTGGACTATTGGAAGCAGAGGAATGGTGGGACATTCAATGGAGAAGAATTGAGGAATAATGACTATTGTAATGTGAGTGGTGAGGGATCATAAGAGCATTATGTTTTAACATAGAGCCTCTAGTATTGTTGTACTTGCACCGGCTAGTTTGAGGGCGTCGTTTTTCTTTCGTATTTCTTTTGCCTCTGCTTTTTTTAAGTTTCCTGAAGATCTTTGGGTGCTCACAAGCATATGGATCAGATCGCCCTTTCTTCAAGCTCCTTCCCCAAATTAATCTACTTACCACCAAGATGAAAAGGCAAAAGGAGGAGAACCTTGTTACAATTTATACTTGAGAGTGTGGGATATTGTTCATGTTGTTTAGATTTAACTAGTAACTTAGAATTTAGCAGTGCTACATAGAAAAACTTCAAAGCACATAAGAAGTATGAAATGAAATTACCTTATGAGAAAGTGAGCATGCCTCAAAATGATCTACTACCTCCCAATGACCAGCTGAGGATTTTGTTAGAAAATGTCACAATAAGAGTAATGGGGTAAGAAGGGATAAACATTCAAGAGACTGACTAATCAGTGTGAAGAGTAACCTTGCAATGAAAATTGGAAGCCCCCAGACTTCAGAAACGCATCATCACTTGCGTAATACTGATAAAAAAGTGATCTTCGTTGAACTAGCATCAGTGGTTTGCTAAGAAAATTGTGGGAACTTGAGTTGTTAAGGAAGAGAGATCTGTGTAGATCCAGGAATTGAGCCATGTCTTTGTCTCTTTCTTTGTCAAACAGGAACTAAATGCAGCTCCACCATTCCAATAAAAAAATTGCCATAAACACACAAGCACTCCACACATCAAATAAGAGCACAAACCTTAATTTAAATAACTATTAGGATGATCAAAGGATGCCTGTATTGTCATATTTCTCTACGAATTATTCATCTACCTTCAAATTGCTCTAAGCATCAAACTTATACATGTATGTTTTCTCCCCTTCCATCATGGCTGGCTGTGAGTTTAAATTAAAAACAGGTTCAGGATCACCTGAGCCATAAATGGTGTTCCCAGAATCCTCACTCCAACCCTACTTGCCAAAAAATAAAAATAAATAAAATTACATCGCATTTTCGGGTGCCAAAAATCATAGTGGTTATTAGCTTAAGGATTCCAGGTCAATTTGTACTAATGAATGAAGCTCAAATATACTAATAACTTGGTTCTCAATGCTCCAAAGAAAAAACTTAGCACATATTCAAACCCCACCTATTCTAACTCTGATAATTTAACCAATGATTAGTTTTTTCTCCCTAAATATTCACATAATCATTGCAAATACCCAATCTGCTTGGAAGAGTTTAAACTCGTCAAAACAAAACATTCAAATCCATGGGAATGGGTTACCTTGAAGGACTATCAAGGGAAATTCGTAAAAGGGGTACGAATTCCAAAGCTTGTGGACGTCTTTGCTATTGAGTTTTCTTCATAGAAAGGACTGGTTCACTTCCACTCTCTCCACTTCCCCAACTATTTGTCTTTGTGGATCAGGTAAATCACACTTTCTACCCAATGGTTTTGGGTCAGTGGCAATTAAGTCCCTCACCGACTCAAATTTTTGGTGTAGCATTTCCAAAGACTCATGTTTTTTTTTTAATAATAATAATAATAATAATAAGATAACAACATAATCAATACAGAGTCACCCAATATCTAAATAAATGAAATAAAAATCAGAGAGTAAATAAACTCACAATCCACCACCATTCCTTCCCAAAAATGGCCAAAAATTTTGAGGTTCCACTAGCACACCCTTAACAATAAATACATATCATATCCCACAAATCATATTCTAAGAATTCAACTTTTTCTAGATTTCCGTGATAAATTGTCAAATACTAGAATGTCCCCCTAATTTCATTTCTTTTAGTCTGTTCACAATAATTTTTTATGTGAGAATTAATTATAGTTCTAAATATTTCATTGTAAAAAAAAAAAAAAAATTTGCCTTTGTTAAAAATATATATTCCTTCTCCTCTCATAAAAATATTATAATTTGTTAGTTTATACAATCTCCCTTTAATCATCCATATTTTTCTCTTTTTTATAAATATAAGTAAAAACTTATAAATAAAATACTCATCAATGCAGGCACCATATCACACGTTCTTAAAAGGTAGCACTAAATTCTTATTAAATTTTTGGGTTAATTATATTTAAGGTCTCTAAAGTATAGAATTTATTTTATTTTGGTACTTAATATTTCAATTTCATCATTTTGATCTCTGAAGTATTAAATTTATTTTTATGTGGTCCTTCAAACAAACAACATTCAAATTATTAATGATTTTTTATCATAAACTTATTATATGATACCTAAATATGAACAAAAAATAATTTGGGTAGCTATTGACCAAAATTTGAGTAGCGTTTGACCAAAAATGTGTAATATGGGTAGCTCTTAACCAAAATTTAGATAACTCATTATCAAAATTGTGTAACTTTGGTAACTCTTTGAGCAAAATTTGGGTAGAAGTTTAGTCAAGAACTATCCAAATTATCATTTTTTTTTCTATATATAGGTATTATGTGACAAGTTTATAATAAAAAATCATTAACAATCTGAACGCTATTTGTTTAAGGGACCACATAAAAATATATTCAATATTTCAAGAACTAAAATGATGTAATCAAAATATTAAGGACAAAAATAAAACAAATTCCATACTTTAGGAACCTAAAGTGAAAGTAACTCAAATTTTTTTTGTAGGCATGGTAAAATTTTCATACATTTATCTCTTTGCATACCTTGGGTTAGATATTAGATTTGGGTAATGGACCCAAACGGGGCGCCATGATAAGTCGACCTAATTAGAGAATATCCAAGGGCATGACTCTTGGAGGAGTCTTTTACGACCAAGGATTAGGTATGTTAAATCACTAACAATGATGTTCTTCTCTAAGGCATCTATTAGTTGTCTATATAAACTCTAAGACAATCAATGGACATCATCAGAAAAAACTTACGTCGAATTATCTCTTTTCCTTGTGTTGCATAACTATATTGCTCGAGCAAACAAATTAAAAACGGTTTTTCAGATTCTAAAGAACGTGGAATATCCTTTAAAGATTTTGAGATTAAAGTGAATTAAGGTATATCTTTAATTCTACACTTTCGTTATAATATACGATTATCAACATTGATATCAGGGTCATTTTTTATGTTCTCGTACCATTGAAATTATTGTTTTGACACTAAAGCTCTGAATGAGTTTTAATGGTGTTTCTGGTTATATATATATATATATATATACTACTTTAAAATTTCACTATACTTGAAAAATATTTTTTTCTAATTGTACCTCCCAACAATTAAAGTATTACATTCTTATATTTTATTGATGTTTAATCTTTTTGTAATAATAATCTAAAATCAAGTTTAGCTATTCAAATTGTTAAACCCTACAAATTCTGCAATAAATATTCAAAGGATTGAATAATAATAAATACATCAATTACTAGATTAATTACCCTACTTAATTACCAATAATATCAGCATCCCTTTCATCTCTCTCAATGTACATTTAATGGGGTTTGATTCTTTACTTTTTTTTCCAAATTTTCTCTTTCTTGTATCCATATATTAGAAATCTCACTTTGTTTCTGGTATCTATTTGGAGTACATGGCAATTTACTTTTTAATTCTATGTTGTTAATTAATTTCAATTGATTTTTCAAATAAAGATCATTTGGTTTGCTCATTGAAGTTTTATTCAAAGAAAATGGAAAGCGACTTTGAGAATCAGATGACCTTAGATTTAGCTATGAATGAATATCTGATAGAGAAAGGATCTAGGTATTTTGAGTATCTATCCCATCATAACTACGTAGTTTGATTATGAACCATTTCTTTTTTCTTATTCATGTGTGTTTTAACTTTCGAATTCAAGTTTTTTATAATTGGGTTTCTTTTAATTTGGTATACTATGAATTTTTAGGTGCTCACCTTACAGAATAAGATGCTCGATCAGAGCACCTTGTTGTGATGATATATTCGTGTGCAGGCATTGCCATAATGAATCTAAGGTTAAGTTCTTTCCTTTTTTTTTTTGAGTTAACAAAATTTATTTTTATGCTATTTTCCTCTTTATATGATTACCATATTTAGTAGTGCATTACATTTGATTTTGTTTGGATAAAACATCTAATGTTATTTAGCAATGAACAAAATTCATTATAATTAACTAAACCTCAGTGGATGATACTACTAAAAACACACCCCTTCATCTCTCTCTCTCTTTGTTTTTTATTACTAGAAATGCACCTCTTCATCTTTCTCTCTATCATCTACTTAACAATAAATGAAAAATATAACAGGATTCTTTGTTGCTCTCAATATAATGATCTAGGATTGACAATGGATGACTCTAGAAGGATCTTGAAATGGTCCATGTGTAATGCACATGTGCACCAACTATCTATATCTATACTACTCTAAATCTATACTAGAATAATTGAAAAACATTTTTTTCCATCTTTGTCCTTCAAAAATATAATTATATCGTCTATATCCTTCAGATTTAATGTCTCCAAACCCTAATTCCTTATTCCCTGCTCCCTGACAACACCTCCTTTTCTCCCGACCTCTCCTCTTTCAGTCTTTTCTCTCTCTCTCTCTTGAATGCCTCTCACCCATTTGCTGCTCAGTTACTCTCTCTCTCTCTCCATAAATTGTCCAATATCCTCATTGATTTCTTTGCCTGTCTCCTTCTCTCTACTTTTCCCAACCCTTAACCCATCTCTCTTTCTCACGCTCAAATCCTCTAACTTGCTTCCACTAATGCAAATTGCAGGATATCTTGGATGTATGCATTGAAATCCTTGTAGCTATTCTTGAAGATGGTGGGGCTACACGCTGGCTTGATTAGTTGTGAGCATGGAAAAATTACCACATCATTTGTAATATTCCAGAAGAGATTCGAATTTGTATAGCATCCAATTTTCACACTAACAATCAGTGTGATTTGTGTTATGGATTTGCCGATCTCACAAGTGAAATTGTTGTATTTTGTTATTTGTGGGAGATTTCCCATAGTTTATCAAAAAAATTGGTTGTTTCTTTTGTGGCTCTAAACGAAAACCATCAATTTCCATCAGCCTTATCTCTCATGAAGCAAATATATCTCCGATCTCTAAATCTTCGTCGCTATGTCTTAGGTATATTATCTTCTACACAATTTGATATTCAATTTCTTTATTGTGTTTCGATTTGAATCATTTACTTTTAGCTATATGCCATTCAATTCGCCTTAATTTCGATCGCTCTTCATATCAATGCAATTTGTGTTTGAATTCACTTTATATATCGTCGTTTATTGACTACTTGATGTGGATCGTGTAGGAATTAGATAGATATTATAGATTAATTATGATAGTTATTTAGATACTTTTAATATTTAGCTTTTAAGTAATTTCTTTTAACTTTTAAGGGTTTAGTTGTCATTTTGATTATTTATTTATTTTAGGATTTGTGATCTCCTTATATATATAGGATTTGTGAATTTCTTATATATATAGGGGATACATATTTGTTGAGGGACTAGACTTTGATTATTGATTATTGATTATTGATATTGAATCTTCTTTCTAAAATTCTCTCTCTATTATCATCCTCTTCTTCTTTTTTTCTCATCTCTTTCTTCTTCCCTTCTCATCCCTAATTCTTCTCTAATATGATCTACATCAATTTGGTATCAAAATCTAATTTTGATTCGTATAAATCACAAAAAATATCAACACTG